TTACCTGTCTTTTTATCAAAAGAAAAATCTTGAGCATACATGCTTATGTAAGCCGGGTCAAGTTCTTTAAGCTGTTCAAGATTGTGTGCGTAAACCTGGTTCTTCTTGGCAAAGATGTGAAGGTCAGAGGACTCTTCACCGGTTTCTCGTTGTTTCAGAGCATTGAAGTCCATTTTGCGGAGTTGTGTTCCTTTAGATCGCAATCTCAGCCGATTTAGTAACTGTGCAAAGCGAATGTCCTTTTGCCGCATGATTGTTTTAAGTTCTGCTACCTTGAATAAACCATTCCAAAAATCGCCAATATTAACTGGGACATACAAAGCTTTACCATTGACTGGACATAACTGATAAAAATCTCCAACGGCTATAATACATACCTTTCCAAAAGGGAAAAAGTCACCAGTTTGTTTTATTTGTCGTAGCCTACCATGAATATAGGCCATTAACTTGTGATGTACCATGGAGATTTCGTCAATAATCAAAATTAGCAGGTCACTATACTTCGCACGCAATGAATTAAGCTTATTGTCACCAAGCGGAGAGTAGGGAAGAGTAACATTTATTCCTATGTTAAATGTTGCATGTATTGTAGTTGCATTCAGATTATAAGCTGCGATGCCTGTCGGTGCAGTCAATAAGACAGATATTTTATCTGGTTGACTGCAAGTTGGCGCCAGGAGCCGAGTTGCCTCATACTGAATAGCCCTAATAAGATGACTTTTTCCTGTCCCTGCACCACCAGTAATAAAGACATGAAATGGCTCTGGCTCTTTCCCTGATACCTTGTCAACACACCATTGTCTTATTTGAAAAAAAATTGACAGCTGCTGTTCATTTAAGGAACGTATTAAAGCAAGACCTTCACTTCGCGGCAGATTGTTTGTCTTTTCCCAATGACAAACATCCTCTGTACGTATTGCCAAATCTGGAATGATTTCAATATGGTCTTGTTCAGAATGATCCTCCTGTTGTTTTTGCAAAACCTCTTCTGCAGACTCCAACCGTTCAACTTCCTGCTCAGGACAAAGCTGGCCCCAAGCATCTATTAAAAGATCATCACTAGCCATTATTTCTTGAAGGTCATCAAAGTTTTCAGGTTGTGCATCAAACCGAAGTCTATTGGCTTCTACAATTGACTTAACTGAATGCACTGTTCCATCAGTGATTTGGACTGATCCATTAGCATAGAATTGTTGAAAGTTTTCATAACCCAAAGGTTTCAGATCATCGTCCTTACGGTATGGCAAAAACAACTGAAGCAAGCTTTGATGGAATACTTCAGGATTTTTTGTCTGAGAAAAACGTGCATACCGAACAACAGCTGGTTTTGCCCTTGTTCGTTTCACAATTCTACCCAGTCCATTTTGAAGTAGGATGGCATTTTTACATTTCTCTGTTGAAGGAACAACACGGTACTCTGAAGCAAATGTACAAATACATATGTCATTAAAAGTTCCATTATTCGGCCTGTTCTTGTAGCGATCTGCAAGATTGGTCATCCACATGTCATCTGGGGAAGTTGAATCAGACAGTTCACCAATAGGTCTAGTCAGTCGGACTACACTGTCACCTGTTGGTACAAATACAACTTTCCTAGAACATTCCTTCAGATGCATGTTTGTAAGACCTAAAGCAAAACAATCTTGCCACAACACCATAGGGATTGTTCTCCAGACTAGCAGCTCTCTTAATGGCTGTCATGATTTCATAGCACGTTCTTGACTCATGCGACTAAATGTGTTACACGTGCAATCTGCATCCTTAATTAAGGTCACATTTCTTACAATTTTGTTTTGGCTCCTTTTTCTTGATAAATGTGCGCATTGATGGTGGTCGGGGGAAATTAAATCTACAAACAGTATTGCCCTTTCTGCATGTTTTGGAATGCCTCTTGGAATGTGTCTGCACAGATGTAACCAAATCTAACAGCTCATCATCATCTGTTGGTAATTTGCATGTCACATATTTGTCAACAAAAGCAGCCACCTCTTTATCTGGGTCAGTCCCTATTTTTGGAGCTCCCTCTACCCAAAACAAACAGTGCACGTGAGGGGACCCCCTTTGTTGAAACTCAACCCGGTAAAAGTAATCAACAACTTTACCAATTGGCTCAGCCTTGGACAAGATTACATCATTCAAAAAATCATGCCAACGGCGATCAAACATTTGTGCAGCCACTACAGAATTACGCCTTAAAAGGTCACATCTCTCCTCCCATGTCAAGCTGTCAGTCGTCTGTTGTCTCCCCTCTATTTTTAAAAGAGCCTCTAGTAACTCCCCCCATCTAAGATCAGCTGAACTGAAAGAGCAGAACCATGTGGGTAATCCAAGTTGTCTGGAATCAAAATGGACTGACTGGTGCCAGCAACAGCAGGGCTGCCAACGACATCTCCTTCTTCATCAGAAGCAATGGAATCAGCTATTGGGATGCCACGATGCGATGTTTCAGGAACCTAAATTGCACAAAAAACAAAATCACATTAGAATACAATTCATAGTATTTAGTTTTTTTAACTAATACACAATAAAAATGAAGATGACTCAATTCCCTACTTAGGATTAGGGATGAGCTATGAAAGGATAAGTCTTTCTCTCCAGAATAATATTTTTTTCTAAGCTCATACCTCATCTATATCCATCTCAGATGAGGAGCTGCCTGGTAAGATGTGCCTCTTCTTCAGACCAGGCACTTCCTCAATCTTTGCAAACAAAAATAACTATTAGTTGTACATAATAACACAGGACAAAATACTGCAAAAAGATAAAACATGCCCACCTGCTGTTGGGAGCGGCGTCGCTTTGAAGCAGCTGGTTTTATGCTTTCTCGTGAGACATTCTCCTCTGTTCCAAATGTGGAGCTGACAGGTGGAAGGCTTTTCACCATGTCCGCATAGGACGGTCTAGGAGGGGAGCAGCTTCCTACGACCACAACAGCCTATACAATATAAAAATTGTTTTAAAAAAAACTAAAAACTTAATAAAAATCACGTTTTAACATAAACACATCAGCACCTAAAAAAAACTGACCTGGTCCTCCTCCAATGCTGGATGAAAGCTGGCAGGTGAGCGGGGTCTTATCTCCGGGCCAGGAGAGGAGCGTGAACATGAGTGGCGGTGTCTCACCTCCACAGCAGGCTACAGAACAAACAATACAAGTCATTTGTTACCAATGCCCTATTCCAGACATGAAAAAATATAATTATAAACCCACCTTATGCTCCTCCTGCCTGGATGTTGAACTGGTAGATGAGTAATGGGGTTTCACCTCCCCAGCCGTTGCTTCTTCCACTCCCCGAGGCTGGCGTTCACGGGCAAGCTGCTCTGCTCGTCGCTGCTGGGCAGCCAAAGAGCGTTTGTAACCCTTGTGTCGTGGCATCTGAAAACAGGTATTACATGTTAAAAAACAAGAAAAGTTGCTGTACACATTAGCCACAATAAAAGGCTATGGCAACCCTATAGATTAACACTAAACTAGAAAGTCAGAAATAGACCAAAATACAATACAGCACAATAATAATAAAGCAGGAATAAATTGGGAGTAAATCTGAACTAAACCAGGACTACAATTAGGACTACATCAATACTAAAAATATAGCTAAACAAAAATGTAGCCAAACCATAAATGTAGCCAAACAAAAACTTAGCTAGACCATAATGTAGCTAAAGCAAAACGTAGCTAAAGCAAAACGTAGCTAAACCACAGTGTAGCCAACCAAACAGCTAAAGCCAAGTAGCCAAACCAAAACTTAGCTAAACCAAACCATAATGTAGCCAAACCACAATGTAGCTAAACCAAAACTTAGCTAAAGCACAATGTAGCCAAACCAAAACTTAGCCAAACCATAATGTAGTAAGAGCAGTACGTAGCTATGGCTAAAGCATAATGTACCTAAAGTTTAATATAGCTAAAAGCACAATATAGAACACATTATAGCCAAAGCATTTTACTAGCTAACTCACTATGAATTTTTCAAATTATTGTGATTTTTGTGGGCTAATACTAACGGCTAATGCTAACAGGTAATGCTAATGAAAATTGATACAGCAAAAAATACATGCAACCAAATCAAAACCAAAATAAAAACTAAACCAATAACTACTTAACTTAAACCTACATTTTCCAAGTGTACTTGTACATATAAACAGCATTTATCTCAGAATCTGTGCACAAACAATATCAGCTTTACAATAAAAACAAGTCTTACCTTCACAGTCGATCAAATAATCCGGAAAAATTCCTCAGAGAAGAAATATTTCCAACAAGGACACTGGGAAAATGAGAGATCAGATAAACTGACAAAAATCCAAAAGTCTTGAAGTGATCACAACCGTGAAAAACAAACTGCACGCAGTGGTAACCATAGACAGAGTGGTCAAACCTGGGAAGCCAATTATGTTAGAGGACGTGGCATGTGACGTCACGTATTGTATTAATTATGTGACGAAACCGGACGTGACGTCACCGGACGTGACGTAGTTGTCTCTCCAGCCAATCAGAGCCATGCTTTCCTGTTCAAAATGGCTGTGGCTTTGGATAGCAAATGAATGATTTCTTTTACATTAAATGTACATTATTCTTTATTGAGATGAAGCAATTCAAAATCAGGCAGTGTGTCAGTATATCATATAAAATCGAAATAATAAAATAAAATAAATAAAGCAAAATTGAGAATTAATGAATAATCATTCACAATCTATAAACTACAAACAATTCAAATCATTTCATTGATAATGACCAGGACCAAAATGGAGGCTTAGAGCCCACGGTAGAACCGGACCTAGAAGCTGAGGCTCGGACCTCGCGGAGGCTCGGAGTCAAAGCTCGGAGTCCGCTCTGGTCATTTCACTTCAGGTTGAGGACACAAACTTTACCGCTCAGACCAATGATATCACAGTCTCTGTTTATTTAGTGTTGTGTGATTGGACAACTGCCCTGTCACTCACTCACGTAGCGGCTTCACGATTAGCGGCAGCTAGCTACTTTAGCCTAAACCTCCACACAGGAAATGGCGAGGACAGAGTCAAACAGCGGACAGACCCGTGGCTGGGACCCGGAACAATCGCCGCAGGGACTCGGGACAATCGCTGCTGGGACTGCGGCAGTTGCCACCGGACCGGGGCTCTCGCTGCAGCGGCCGGGGCCAGGACAGTCGCACGCTGCTCTACCCGGATCTGCACGCTCGTTTCTGGGTATAAAAGTTTGACCTGAGCATAGCGCGCACAGGGCATATGTCTACCTGGTGTCCTACTGCTACGCACTAGCCGTAAAATTTCCAGATTTAAGTGAAAAGTGGGATTAAGACTGATTTTACAACCGCTCGTGCACTCGGCTCCCTGATTTTGCGTTACGGACCTGACTGGACCAGGATTTGGACCAGTTTCATCTCTTCGTATTGGACAATACACTGTTG